GACTGTGGACATCATCATAGATTTCATTTTAAAGATTCAGCATATTAAACTGATGTGGTTTATAGCCCTGCAGAGCTTTCCATATGGGCCACTTTTTTTTAAGTTCAAAAGGCAGCATTAATGTTTGCCACTCTTCCAGGCTAAGTGTTTAGGGAAGTTCAAGTGTTATTAAGAATGATAAATTTCAAAATACCTTTTCTTTTCGTTCCCACACAATCCACACAGTTGCTCTAGTCAGATAGCTTGAGGGAAGCCTAACTGAAGTGATAATAGTAGATTTCTCCATGAGTTGGAACCCAAGATATTTTACTTTGTTTTCAGTTTCTCTCTGGAGGAAAACTATGACATATTTTTGTAGTGTGGCAAAACAGATAGAAATGTTTCGCAATTTACTTCGTAAATTTCAAGTACCCTCGGGTTTTTTATTCTATCATATTTCAGTATTAAGATTTTTTTCCTCTCCTGGATTTTGGTAGGTTATGTTGAAATTCAGCAGACGGTATGGGGAACCCAATAATATGCTTAGGCTTTGAAGTCATCCCTGACTCTTTTCTATTTTATTTCCCATATCTAATTGGTCCTATCAGTTCCCCCTCTGAAATTTGTCCAGAACTTATTTCTTCCTCTACATTCCTGCTGTCTTCATTCAGGCCTTTTGATCTTTTGCCTAGATTATAAAAAAACAAGTTTCACTCACTGGTCTTCCCATCTCCAACCTACACTACTCAAGCCACCCTCCACACTGCCAAAAATTCTCTAAAACTCAAATGTGATCATATCATTCCTCTGCTTTTAAGTCATTTGATAGTGCTTTGGTTACAAATGAGGTCAAAAAGTGTACACAATCTGGACCCCACCTAGATTTCTAACTAGATCTCCTCCTACCCTAGCCCCTGCAGTCTTCCTTCTTGCTCCAACTGCCACCATCCTTCCCACCCCAGGGGCCTTAGACCTCAAATATGCAGACTCTGTTTCTTGAATATAAAAGGCTCTCTCATGCTGCTGGACCTTTACCTGTGTTACTCTCCTTGCCAGGAATGTCTCCTCATTCAACAGTTAGGGAGTAGCAAGGCACACTAGGTAGAAAGACAGGGAGGTGAGGAAAAAAAGGGAATCGAAGAGCATTACTAAAACAGCACAGTGCTAGGCTCATATCTGGGTGTTCCATAAGTATCAAATGAATAAGTGAATGAATGAATGAATGCACTGCTGACCATAAGGTGCACGCTGCAGAGGCAGGGAAGTGAGAACAGATGGACTATGAGAACAGTCCTCCGTGTTTTTCTGTTACTCAAACTCTTTTTCTATTCCCTCCACCTTCTTTCAGATCTCCATGTTTATGTTTCTTCTAATTTACAGACTACTATAACACTACCTCAGATGCATTTAACCATGCTATGCATAATTTATTTATTCATTCCTCATAAATCAAGCCCTCCAGCCATCTGGAAAACAAGAACCACTTTTATTGCCTTTCAAGCCCCTTCTCGCTAATCTTTTTAGTGCGTGCTATTGTGCCTGGTACAAAATGTAGTATTTTATGCAGTTTCACCTCTGAATATCAAGGACATTGTGACCTTTTTGTTGTTGTTTTCTTTATTAGGAAATCCCATGTGAAAACATTAAATAAAGTAAGAGCAATTAGAAAGCAAAGCAAGAAAGTTGTATCACTACAGAGTGGGCTATAAGTGGGCTGCTTTTCATGTGTGTTTCATGAAAAGCAGCCTCATTATTTTACGGTTAGACCTTGTAAACTAGAAGCAGTAGTTCTCCTGTAAAGGCTAATGAAAAGTGATGAAGGACTATTCACGTGAAAACACATTCTATAGTCATAGGTAATGTCAAAATCTCATTCTGCTTCAGTTTTCTAGTCTATGAAATGAGAATAATACATAGTCACTTGCCCCAATCATCTACTGAGAGCAACATGAACACACAAAGTACTTTGCAGTTACAGATGATGGATACCATTTTCTATTAGAAGTAACAATGATTAGCCACTCTGGTTTAACCAGAAGGCTTTAAGTAGAGGTAGCCAATGTAAGCTCATGAATCCCCCTAACTGACCACTTCACTAAAGTCGGTGATTGGTATAACTGACTCAGGATGGTTATGACTACACATAAGCAGAAGCAATATGCTAACACAGTTCTCTTTTGTAGAAGTAGGCAGATGACCACCAAATACTATACCATCAGTACCTTTCCTTTATGAACTTTAAATTCAGGGGCCCTCTCCTACTGTCACTTTCCTGACATATCTTCCCCAAGGCAAATTCCTTGTTATTCTTTTTAACCTGTGGCTTTTATACTGGTATGTTCACCCCAAATTAGTCACCTCCTCAGAGAAACCTTCCCTGACCTTCCTAACTAAAGTGTCATTCCCCAGTTATAATCTATTGTTATTCAGTTTATTTCCATCCTAGTACTCATCATGATGGGTAATTAACTAAGTAACCTTTTTACTCGTTTACTGCCCTCCCCACCTAGATCTAAGTTCTAGGTCAATATTTGTCTTAATCCCACCACTGTATCCCCAGTGCCTAGAATAGTGCCTGGTTCACAGCAGGTACTCTAAAACTATTTGTTGAATGAATTGATGAAGGAGTTTCATCCTTACAGTGACAATAAGGTTAATTCAAACTTATTAGCATGACATTCAAGGCCCTGACTGTAAGATTCTCTGAGCTGGCCGCACCATGGTCAAGCCATTTTGACATTCCCCCACCCTTGTGATAACATACCTTGTGATATTCCCCATCCTTGTGAATGTACTTTGTAACATCCTCCCCACCCTTGAGAATGTACTTTGTAACATCCATCCCCTGCCCGCAAAAAAAATTGCTCCTGACTCCACTGCCTATCCGAAACCTGTAAGAACCAATGATAATCCCACCACCCTTCGCTGACTCCTTTCTCAGACTCAGTCCACTTGCACCCAAGTGAATAAACAGCCTTGTTGCTCACACTAAGCCTGCTCAAGTGGTCTCTTATACGGATGCACGTAACACCAACTAAGCTATCGGGACTTATATTCTGCCTTTTTATACCTCCATAGATTCTGCCTGTTGATACCTCTGTAAAAGCATACTTTCTGCCTGAAGCATTCTTCCTACCAAATAACTAATCTTTTAAGACCTCACTCCAAAACACCTTCTCTATAAAATCTGCAGTCCTTCGTAGACACATCCACCACATGAAATGCTTATTCTGCTAAATTCCTATAAGAGCTATAGAACTTATAATACAGGGTTTTAGCAATAATAATAAAATAATGATACTGAACATGTTATTGAGTACTTAACTCTATGCCAGGTATAGTTATAAGCACTATATATGTATTGTCTCATTTAATCCTGAAAATAACTCTAAGGGGTAGGAACTATCATAAGTATTCATGTGGCTATTTAGCTAGCTATAATCAACTTCATGAAGGCAGGGATGGTATCTTCAAGCCTTGCTAATTCCCAGAGCTCAGCAAAGTGTCCACAATGTCATATGTACTTAATATGAGTTTGTTAAATAATGAATTTGACAGCAGTTCCTTGTCCTCTGTCTACTTTGACAATGGCAACCCCAGTTAAAGAACCAGACAGAGTTTTAAAGTAACTATACAAATGTAATCTTAAAGTGATACTGTCCTTTCTAAGTACAATAAGGAATTCAGAAGTCATAAAGGAAAGGGGCAATATACATGGCTATATAAACATTTTAAATATCTGTAAATTTAAAAAAACAAAGTTAAAAGAGACAAACTAGAAGTGGATAAAATATATTAAACTGACATCAGACAAAAAAGTAATAATAGTATATGAAGGACTCTGATAAAGAAATAAGAATAATCAGCCCATTAGAAAAATAGGAACATCACATGAACAGGAAACTTCCAGAGAAAGAAATCGAAATGGTGTGTAAACATATGAAAATATGCTCAACCTCATTAAGTAAAAAAATGAAAATTAAAATGCTGAGATCTATTTATCTTATCATATTGTAAAGATGAAAAAAGAATGGTAATGTCAGCACTGGTAACTTTGTGGGGAAATAGGCACTTTCACACACTCATGTGACAAAAATGCTCTCATATGCTTAGAAGAGATAGATACAAGGTTGTTCGTTGCAGCATTGTTTGTAACAGCAAAAGATCAGAAACAACTGAAATGTGCATCAATAGAAGCTTGGTTAAATAAACCATGGCACAAACATACCATGAAACTGTATGCAGCCATTGAAAAGAATATGTAACTAGGTAACCAGATAAGCAGGGAGGGGGATTTTAATTTTACAAATGTATTCCAGTTAATAAAAAATCCAGTTATAGAAAGAGGAAAGGATTTCAACATACACTTCATCAGACAGTATATAAGGTGGGCAGATATGCACATGAAATGCTATTCAACATCATTAGCCATTAAGGAAATTAAATTGAGACAATGATGAGATAACACTACCTACGTATTATAATAGGATGGCCAAAATACCAAGTGCTGTTAAGGGTGCAGAGCAAGTAGGACTCTCATACATAGCTAGTTCAGATGCAAAATGGTACAGGCACTCTGGAAAATGGTTTGTCAGTTTCTCATAAAGTTAAACATATTTACTATATGACTAAGTGATCCTACTCCTGGGTATACTACTGAGCAAGAAAAAGAAATGAACAACTTAGATAAATCTCCAAGGCACTAATCTGAGTGAAAGCAGTCTCAAGAAGTGACATACTATGTGATTCCATGTATATGACATCATTGAAAAGAAAAAAACTATAAGGACAGAGAAAAGATCACTGGTACCAGGGGTTAGGGAGGAAGGAGGTCTGACTGCAAAGGAGTGGCAAGAGGGAATTCTCTAGGGAGCTGAATTGTTCTGTATCCTGTCAGTGGTGGTAGTTACAATAATCTAGCCATGTGTTAAAAACTCACAGGAGTATGTGCCAGAAAATAAATGAATTTTATTGTACATAAATTTAAAAAAATTAAGATAAATTATCATCACCAACAATACCTCCTACTTCTCGGTCTAAGGGAGGAACATCATCTCTCATGGAGAAATCCATAGCGGTCGCTGGAATGTCCATCAGGTCTTCATCACTGGAGCTGTTCTGGAAGCTACTAAAACTCCCCTGCTGAAAGCCTCTGTTATCCATGGCACCTGTGCAGAAAGAAAAATAGGAGGCTTATAACAATTATCTTCAAGTCCCTTACATGTAATGTTTGCCATCTGAACCATTTTGAAGTATACAGTTCAGTAGTATTGAGTACTCTTACAATGTGCAACCATCACCACTATCCATTTCCAGAACTATTTCATCATCCCAAACAGAAACTCTGTACCCAACAAACAGTAACTCCCCATCCCCCAGGCCCTGGTAACCTCTATTATACTTTTTGTCTCTATAGATTTGCTAATTCTGGATATTTCATATAAATGAAATCACACAATATGTGACACTTTGTGTCGGGTTTCTTTCACTTAGCATAATATTTTCAATATCCATCCATGTTACAGCATGTATCAGCACTTCATTAATTTTTATGGCTGAATATTATTTCACTGTATGGATAGACCACATTTTATCTATTCATCAGTTGATGGACATCTGGGTAATCTTCACCTTTTGGGTTGGGACTTAGTCTTATGTCTTCTTTCATGCTATATAAACTAAATATATTCAGTTATCCTCTAGATATAATGTACCTCTAGCATTACCATGTAGTTGATGGCAATATTTGAGAACCATTCAAATGAGTATAAAACCAAATGAGGGCACATGTACAAATGTAACGGTAGTTCACAAGTAATCAACTGAAATGAAAACTAGACATCAGTATTGAGAAACGTGCTGGCCATTTGGGAATGGGGAAAAAAAACACATTATCTTATTCCTCTGACTCTCCCAGATGTCTTAATACAGTGTACATGCACAGAAATACTAGATGACTGACATGGGGAAAATAAACATAGTGTGCCATTCAATGCTGTTCTTAAGAATTCAATATTAAAGATGAAAAATGTTCTTCATCCCAAGTGTAATTTTTTCAGATTATAAATTTTACTTAAAAATATTAGTATATTGATTTATTTAGTTTTTAAAAGCATTATGGCCAACTTTACGTAGGTCCACCCTCCCTATTTTTTAAAGGAAATCTTAGTCAAAAATCATAGCCAGCAAAGTTCTATTACACAAATATTATTTGTTTTAAACTTTCCAACTCTTTTAAGAAACTTCTTGTCCTAGGTTGTCAGAACTAAGTGTGATAAATGTGGTAAAAAAACAAATAGGATAAATTAAGTAAGAGGCCTAAAAAGTAGGCCTTAAATATTCAGCAAAAAGGAGAAAGAACCAACATTTACCAGGTACTTGTCAATTTCTAGGCACTGGGCTATGTGGTTAAAATGAATTATTTCCTTTAATGTTTCCTACATTCCTATGCTATGGCATTATCACTCCTAGTGCAGATAAGGAAACTGAAAGCTGCAAAAGGCTAACTTGCCCAGTTAGTGGTGTTGTTGTTGTTGTTTTAAAGTTAAGGTCCAAATCATGTGTTCAATTTCACAATACCTCATTTGTGATAAAGAGACCAGCTTGACTGAAGTGTGAGTGACATTTATGAACACCTACTATGTATGAATCATCGTGGGATACTGGGTCAGATACAAAAATGATGCTGGATAGGCCAGATGAGATGAAGACTGAGAGGCAAAGACTTGGGAGTTAACAACATCAAGGTGATGATTAAAACCAAGAAAACAGATACACCAAGGGAAATTTCCTGTATAAATGTTTGAGGTGATAGACATGCTAATTACTTTGATTTGATCATTACACAAAGTATACATGTATTGAAACATCACACTGTACCCCATAAATATGTACAATTATATATCAATTTAAAATAAAATTATAAAAGAAATGCAATCTCAATGTTCTTCTTTAGCATGCACAAGTAACTTGAAATCTGTGCAAATGTGAACTAAATAATAGGTTATACTGGAACACTACCATGCATACATGATGATATATGGTCAGGTAGGGAAGGATACAAAGTTACCCCAAGGTACTAATAATGTACAAAATTATTGACCATAAAACCATTTCCTCAGCTACAAAAGCTAACCTTGATGTGTGGATCAAATGGGTGCTGGGATACTAGGAAGCCATGTTTTATAGTCTCAGCCAAGCTCCCTTGCTGCTCACCAATCCAAACTTGCTGGACTTTTCTGCCCTTCATTATCCTGCTTTCTTCAATCCCTTTCTCCTGAGAGGACTCTCTCAGTAAAGGACTCACACCAAATCCTGTCTCTGCTTCTGCTTCTAGGGAACCAGGCCTAATACAGGATTGTTAGCAGGTTTTTCCTATTACCAACAACACACGAGAAATTGACTCAGTCTGTCTTCTCGCCTGTCATTCAGGAAGAAGTGCCTTTACTTTTTATTTAAGAAAAAAAAATCAGCCGGATGCGGTGGCTCACACCTGTAATCCCAGCACTTTGGGAGGCTGAGGTGGGCGGATCACCTGAGGTCAGGAGTTTGAGACCAGCTTGACTAATATGGTGAAACTCTGCCTCTACTAAAAATACAAAAATTAGCCAGGCGTGGTGTTGTGTGCCTGTAATCCCAGCTACTCATGAGGCTGAGGCAGGAGAATCACTTGAAGCCAGGAGGCGGAGGCTGCAGTGAGCCGAGACTGTGCCACTGCACTGCAGCCTGGGTGACAGAGTGAGACTCCGTCTCAAGAAAGAAAAAGAAAAAAGGCCGGGTGCGGTGGCTCACGCCTGTAATCCCAACACTTTGGGAGGCCAAGGCGGGTGGATCACGAGGTCAGGAGATCGGGACCATCCTGGCTAACACAGTGAAACCCCATCTCTACTAAAAATACAAAAAATTAGCTGGGCGTGGTGGCGGGTGCCTGTAGTCCCAGCTACCTGGGAGGCTGAGGCAGGAGAATGGTGTGAACTCGGGACGCGGAGCTTGCAGTGAGAGGAGATGGCACCACTGCACTCCAGCCTGGGTGACAGAGCGAGACTCTATCAGAAAAGAAAAAGAAAAAGAAAAGAAAGAAAAGAAAAGGAAGAGAAAAGAGAAGAAAAGAAAAGAAGAGAAAATTTCATTCTGTGTTGATGTTAGTCAGATGAAGAGTGCATCCAAAGCATCTTTACTTGGGCCTTTGGGCACATGTTGGCTCATATAAGTTTATTTTCTTTTTTAATGATGAAACTATTTTGTCTGCCTTACAAATAACTGTACCTTATAGTGAATATTGCAACACACAACATGTATAAGATCAGCAAACATTGTTGGGTAATATTTAAACAACATTTGGATCTCCTAAGCAAGGTTAAACAACACCACACAGAATCACATAACAAAACTGCCAATATAAGGGCCTGTTTCACTAATGAAGCTTGTTATTTCTTGGAACACCACTCATAGGATCTATATAAAATATACTATGCATATAAACATATTACTGTTTATCTTTTGTGTGTTTTTTTTTTTTTTTGGTTTGTTTTTGAGACAGGATCTTGCTCTGTCACCCAGGCTGGAGTGTGGTGGTGCCACTACTGCTCACTGCAGCTTTGGCCTCCCAGGCTCAAGCAATCATGCCACCTCAGTGTCCCAAGTAGCTAGGACTACAGGTGTGTGTCACTGTGCCCAGTTAATTTTTTGTTTTGTTTTGTTTTGTTTGTTTGTTTTTGCAGAGATAGGGTCTCACTATTTTGGCCAGGCTGGTCTTGAACTCCTGGACTCAAGCAATCCTCCCACCTCAACCTCCCAAAGTGTAGGGATTACAGGCGTAAGCCACTGCACCCTACCTACTATTTATCTCATTGAAAGAATGACTCACTGTTAGCAGCAGACAGGACCATGGACATAAACATACAACATGTAACAGCTATAAGTAAGGGTAACTAATTAAATCATGACTTTCTTTCTTATAAGCCCCTGGACCTCTTCCTGGAAATGTTGACCTCAACCTTTGACTCTATGCATCAATGTTTTCTGTTCTTGCTTTGAACGTAACATCAGCAGCTTCCTTCAAACCAGTAACATTTCTATGTTGATTGCTAATTTGCTCCCACTTTCCCAATTTCTCAACTGATTTTTGGGGAGAATCAAAATTTGGAAAAACATAAACTTCCTGAAAAGTGCTGGAAGGAATACCCATATGTAATTGCTACTTGGAACAGATCCTGTTCCAGGATTATGAGGTCCATGATCCTGACACTCTTGAAGATTACAGGCCAATTATTTTGCAGACAATATCTCAATTTTGGTTTGTCTGATGTTTCCTCATGAACAGACTCAGGTTATATACATCTTTGGCAATATATCAGAGAAGTGACATGGTGTTCTTCTGTTTGCATCCTGTTTGCATCCAAACTTGTCCAGTGGGAACCTTTTCAAACTGGCTTCTATGTTCTTTTGACATATCCCCATCATGCTTTGATAATTTCCTTAATTTGTCACAAAAGACATTCCAGACTCATCTTGTATTTTCACGCTCCATCTCCAAAATCAGCCATTTCTTCCAGAAACTCTGAGTCCTTTTAGTTGGGGGTGGTATTTAAAAGACATGATCTGGGTGCTCATGGTTATTCAGGGTTGCTGCTCCCCAATGGACATAGGTAGGGAACACACACACACTTTCACATATATTTTCACATCCACCTATATATATTGACAACATATGTTTTACATATATGAATATTTACACATATGAAAAATGTAAGTTTTCACTTATATCTCTGATTTCAATCCAACATAACAAGGCTCAATCTAGTCTTTTCTCTTCCTGTATATGTACCTTCCCCTTCATTAACAATGAGAAATCTTTTAATTTTTTTACTTTCTTAAACAACTCCCCTGTATATAACCAGTCTCCTATCTTTTCCTCAACTCTTCTCTGCACAGATGCTCTCCTAATACCTGTCAGGTTGACTCACACAACTGAACTACTACTCCATGTAGATTCCTTCTTTACCCTGCTCAGCCTCTGACACCCACAGCAAGCCACATATCCATGTGGAAATCCAGATGTCATCTTCAATGTGTTTAAGTTCTAGTATTCAAGTCAACCATCTGAGTGGGTGCCCTTCTCATATCACTTAGGCTCTGACTCCCTAAGCAAGGCCACCTACATGCACAG